CAGAGCCACTGGGCATGGTGGCGTACCCATGTAATCTCAGCCCTCGGGAGGCTGAGGCAGGAGGATCATTGCAAGTTCGAGGCCAGCCTGGGCTACAAAGTGAGCCCAAGGCCAGCCTGAACTGCATAGCAAGACCCTGTCTCAAAAAGACAAAAAAAAAAAACAAACACAAGTAGAAAAGAAATAATAGCAGTAATGTAGCCCACTATCTCAGGAATATACAGTCATGGGAAAGATTAAAAACAGTAACAAAAAATTTCAACTATGAGTTTGAAAGTGAGTTTATGGGGCCGGGGATATAGCTCAGTGGCACAGCGCCTGCCTTGCAAGCATGAGGTCGTGGTTTGATTCCTGGTACCAAAATAAATAAATAAATAAATAAAAGTCTAGGAAAGTGAGTTTATGACTGGGCATGGTAGGATCATTCTGAGTTCGAGACCAGCCTGGGCTAAAGTGAGCTCAAGGCCAACCTGAACTGCATAGCAAGACCCTGTCTCAAAAAGACAAATAAATAAATAAATAAATAAAAGTCTAGGAAAGTGAGTTTATGACTGGGCATGGTAGGATCATTCTGAGTTCGAGACCAGCCTGGGCTAAAGTGAGCTCAAGGCCAACCTGAACTGCATAGCAAGACCCTGTCTCAACAAGACAAAAAAAAAAAAAAAAAAAAAAGTGAGTTTATGGTTTGTAATGTTGAAATGCTAATTCCTTTTCAATACATGAAATAATCTTGTTCAATATATAAATAATAGTATAAGAATCTTAAGTATTTACAGTAATGGATCACAAATTTTAAGCTGACACTGATCTATCCAGAGAAGATACTTAGACATTCAGGCCCTGCACGGTGGCACATACCTGTAATCCCAGCATTCTGGAAGGCTGAAGCAATAGGACTGGAAGTTCAAACCTAGGCAGTTCAGTTACTTAGCAAAACTCTGTCTCAAAATAAAAATTTAAAACGTGTGGGGAGTAGCTCAGTGCCAAGGCCCTGGGTTCAATCCCTGGTACCACCAAATAATGAAAGTGAAGAAAAGAAATTCAGAAGAAATATTTCATGATGCAGTTGTATGTGGTTCTTGATTTGTTCTGTCTTTACCACAAATATACATTGAAGGATTTATGAGCAAAATGGCACGGTATCTAGAATTTGCTTTAAGGGCTGGGGATTTAGCTCAGCGGCAAAGCACCTGCCTGGCAAGCGCAAGGTCATGAGTTCAGTTCCTGGTACCGGAGAAAACGCCCCCAAAAAAGTAGAATTTGCTTTGAAATATGTCGGGTCTCCTAGTGAACACACTGGTGGCGCATGTCTGCAATCACAGCACCGGGAGGCAGGAAGAAAACAAAACAAAAGTCAATCTCCTAACTCTATGCCCCAAAAATAGAAGGGCAGGGGACAGTTAAAGCTGGGACAGACAGACTGACACACACACACACACACACACACACCCCCAAGACTACTCCCCCACCCTTGCTGCTATTCTGTCTACTATTTAAGAGCTGACCTGTTGGGTACATTGGGCTTTTTAAATCATGACTCATCCGTGAGCGTGAAAAAACAATGTCCCACATAATGTATACCTTCAGAATAACGGATAAACTGCCTGAGGAGAATCTGTGAACTAGTATATAGCTAAAATGCAGTTTTACTACAGCTTACAACAGATTTTGATTTGTTTGCATAGGATACATTAAACAGACTGAGAGTATAAACTGAAATTACCTAATGGTAAACATAAATACTTTTAATTAAATTCTGTAAGTGAATTACTATGTGACTTTGAACCACACTAGAGACGCTTACAATATCTGAATTTAAGGGGCTGGGAATGTAGCTCAGTACTACAGCGCTGGGCATGAGCAAGGCTCCGGGTTCAGTCCACAGCACCCATGAATATTTTCTTCTTTTAAATTTAAGACTTAACCTAACACTACATCCCCACGTGTTGTTTCTAAAATAAAAATGTAGTTTGCTGTTTTTTGCCCTAAAACACACTGAGCTACATTTCCAACTTTTTTTTTTTTTTAAATCAGACAGGAGGGCTGGGGATTTAGTTCAGTGGTACAGCGCCTCCCTGGCAAGCGCAAGGTCCTGAGTTTGATTCCCGGTATCAATAAAAAAAAGGAAAAAAAAACAAAAAGAGAGAGAGAGAGAGAGAGACAGAGAGAGAGAGAGAGAGAGAGAGAGAGAGAGAGAGAGAGAGATCTCTCCAAGTCACTAAACTGCCCAGGCTGGGCTTCCAATCCTCCTTCGCCCTTGCTTCCCAGAGTACTGGGTTCTACAGGTGCATACGTCCACACCATGCTTTTTACTGTCTTTTAAATACGAACACACTGCTGGGCATAGAGGCACCCACCTGTGATCTCAGCATTTTGGAGGCTGATGTAGAAAGACCAACCACTGTGCGTTCAAGGCCAGCCTAGGCTATATGTGAGGTCAAGAGTAGCCTGAACTACATAGGGTGACCCTTCCTCAAAAAACAAAACAAAGCAAGTAAGCAAATAAACAAAAACTCACATCCTCTAACCTTTCATAATTCCTTTTTTTTTGGTACCCGGACTTGAACTCAGGACCTTGCACTTACCAGGCAGGCACTTGTGCCACTGAACTATATCCCAGGTCCCCGCAAAGGGATGAAGGAAGAACTTTCGTCTACCTCTCCATCAAATATTCTTACTTACTGAACACCAAACATCCCATATATTTCTCTTCAAATATGCCTAGTTTACTTTGCAAGTTATTTTCTTTCAAATACAAATCAATTCGCAGTAAGTGAAATGAAATTTCCTTCTACTTTAATAACTTCACCTCCTGAAGAATAAATGTAGGTATTCATGACCCTCTTTCCACATTTCTGTGTCTATAGTTAAGAGAAATAGATGGGCGTGGTGGCACGTGTCTGTAATCCCAGCACTCTAGGATGCTGGGTCTGGAGGATTTTTTTTCCCAGTGCTGGGGACTGAACCCAGGCCTTTGCACGTGCTAGGTGAGGGCTCTACCACTGAGCTACATGCATCCCAGTCCAAGACCCTGTCTCAAATTGAAAAATAAAAAGGGCTAATGATACAGCTCAGTGTGAAGGTCCTGGATTCAATCCCCAGTACCACTACCCTCAAAAAAGTACCCACTAATTTAAACACTCTGCCGGGGGCATGGTGGTGCACGCCTGTACTCCCAGCACTCGGGAGGCTGAGGCAGGAGGATCACTGTGAGTTTGAGACCAACCTAGCCTACAAAGTGAGCTCAAGGCCGGCCTGAACTGCATAGCGAGACCCTGTCTCAAAAAGACCAAAAAAAAATTTTTAAACAGGCTCCAAAATTACACAAACTAGTTATTTATGGGATGATGTAAGCTTCTACAAAGTTCTACTTACATCACAAAGGACCATTCCTCCTGTTAAGTGGAGGTTTCCAAAAGTCCATCAAGCACAAGAACTGATGGGAACACCCTGAATAGGTCATTTTTGGCCACTTTCTCTAATAACACTCTGTTTCTGCCACCATCCACTGTTTGGTCATCAATACTAGGATCCTAGTTTGAGAAAACAGTATCTATTATATATCCTCAAAGACCAAATAGGTCTGTAGTGCCAGCGCTTGCACTCAGGAGGCTGAGGCAGGACTGTCAAGAGTTCCAGGCCTGCCTGAGCTACGCAGAGTTTAAGGCCAGCTTGGACTAACAGCAAGATCCTGTCTCAAAAAACAAAAAACAACTCCAAAAAGTTTGATAGAATTAAGTATCTTAGCCGTATCCACTACAGGATTAGCTGAATAAAGACAAAGAAGGAATTATTCCTCTAATCCTCACACTATAGAGAAGTCACATAAAATGCCACATTTCTGGCGCCTCTGGAAACTTTGTCTCCTGATTATGTACAGTGTATCTTTTCCTCTTCTGAGTTACGTTTGTCCATAATAAAGTGCAAACATCACAGTAGGATGAAAGAGGAAACTGCCAAAGGTAGCAAATTTCTACAAAGCACTGATCTTCCCGATGCAAATTCAGACGATACAGTATCCCACATGAAATGATATCAAACAGCAGCAGCTTCATCCTACTTGTTAACCTTTGGAATTCTATACACCTATACTTCTGAAAAAAGCATTCCCACCAAAGCAGCTCCCAATCTTTGAGTGCTGTCAAATATATACTTCGGTCTGTGCAAATCCTCTTAACAGAACCACACTAAGCAACATCAAACCTAGACCTCACTAAGAGGTACTGTTAAAATTTATATTCAGATCTCAGGCCCCACACCCAATCACACTGTACAGTATATGTATTTTTACAGCTTCAAATCCTGCCCCAACTTTTCAAGCCTTAGAGTTCTAAGTCACTTGGAGCAATAGCTTAAAAATGAGGTCCACTACCAACTGGCCAAAGGAAACGAAAAAAAAAAAACATACCTTCCGTTTTCCCACTGGGTACATTACAGAGACTTTCGAATTACAAAAGAATAGGGGTAAAGTCAATAAATTCTGCTACTGCTACAATACGCACCAGAAGAGAGCCCGAGTTGCCCACAGGACCACACATTACCTACTGCTCTACAACAGCGGGCCGGTCGTTAACAGTTTAAATACTCAACCGTATTTCATGTTGCAATGGATTGCTACAAATTCTCCAGGTCGAAATCGATGACAAAAACCCTGATCTGGTTTTCCGAGAGAAGCCACTCTGCACAGAGCATCACACACAAAAGACAGGAGCGAACGGAAACACGCTCCGGGCCCGGGCGGACTGCGGCCAGGAGCCCAGGTCTTCATTCCAGACCCCCCGGCAACACGGAGGAGAAAAAAGGGCTCAGGGTGGGGGTGGGGAGAGGTGGGGGTGGGGTCCCCCTCCTCGATCGCGCCGGCAGGGAGGAGGAGAGAGAGACGCTAGCGCAGCACAGAGGAAGCGAGAGAAGCGGCGGAGCAGCATCGGCGGCTTCCAGGCCGGCGACACCCTCGGGCCCGCGCCGCGCCGGGCCCTCCCAGCCCTGCCGCGCCTCCTCACCTCCCTCACGTCCTGCAGACACTCGAGCACCGCCAGGTTGTTGCTCCAGGTGTGCTTGGGGCACACCCGGGTCACATCCTCCCTGCAGGACTCTTCCTCCGCCAGCTTCCAACCCCCCCCAGCCCCGCCGGGCCCCGCTCCGCCCCGCCGGGCGGGAGGCCCACCCGCCGGGAAAGGCGGCTGCGGGGGCTGGGGCGGCTGTTGCTGTTGCTGTTGTTGCTGGAGCTGTTGTTGCTGCTGCTGTTGCTGCTGCTGTTGTTGCTGAAACTGCAATGACTGGGGCGGCTGCTGACCCCCCGGCCCACCGCCTCCAGCCTGCCCGACGTAGGGAACAAAGTTGGCCGCTGGGCCCTGCCCCTGGCTGTGGCCGCCCGGACCCACGAATTTCTGGGCCCCGACAGCCGAGAGCAGCAGCACTAGCTGTACCGCCGCCGAGGGGAACATTCTCCGTACACGTCCACACGCCGCCATCTTGGTTCCGCTGCGAGCTCGACGCACCCGCCGGCGCCGCGTATTTAAATGAGGGGGCGGGGCCGGGCCGGCGTGGCGCCCGCGGAGCCCCGCCCCGGCCGGCGCAGGCCCGGGAGCCGCCGGTGGGGCGAGGGAGGAGGTCGAGCCCGAAGTGACCCAATCCTGGCCCTGCGGGGCAGTGAAGCTGCGCTCCCCACCCTGGAAGTTGTCGAGGGGTCTTAAAAACCCTCAGTAGGGATAGCACGGCCTAACTCCCTTGGTTGTCGGAGAAAAAGATCCAAAGGAATTGGGGTTGCCACAACCAAGATGGCCGGTAGAATATGTCGCGGGTTCAATGACTTGGGGGGAGAAAACTTTATGCGTGTAGTAAACTTACAGATGCTGGGTCTCTGCCTCCGTCCTTCCACCTGCCACCAAAGTCTTTCTTATCTGGAGAGCAGGGCAGCCTTGAAAAAGTTAAGAGGACAGACCATGATCCTTGCCGGATGAGAATTGAAAGACTAGGCAAACATTTTTACTGGAAAACTAAATAGTGAAGATTAAAGATAAAACCAAGGGAGGTTCCTGGCCCAAAACATGGAACTGCCGAAGTTATACCGGAGTAATAAACTGTGAAGACATTTTGCCTGGAAGTGTTTTTTGTTTTTGTTTTGTTTTGTTGAAGTCTTGATTGTAAGCCAGAATTTACTTTTTTTTTTTTTTTTCCGTGCCAGGAATTGAACTCACGACCTTGCACTTGCCAGGCAGGTGCTGTGCCGCTGAGCTAAACCCCCATCCCCTGTAAGCCAGAATTTAGATTTAGGTTTAAAGGATGGAAAGAGCTGGGAGGCTGAGGCAGGAGATCACAAGTCCAAGCCCAGCTTGTACAATGTAGAGATACAGCGGGACCTTATCTTAAAAAAAAAAAAAAAAAAGGAACTCAGTGCTAAGGCCCTAGGTTCAATCCCCCATGCCAAAAAGAAAGAAAGTAACAAAACTGGCCTTGGAGGACTCTCTGTGTCAGAAACTGTTTTTGCCGTCCTGCATGCAGCATACCCAGCAGCACCGTGGCGTCCCGCACTGTTGTCCCCTCTTGCTTAGGTGAGATGATGGATTCCCAAAGCCTCTTCACAGGCATTGTGTCATGTCAGTCATACAACTGACCTGGGTTAGATCTTAATCCAACGGAGGCATAGTAGAGATGCTAACCGCTCCGCACAGGGCCATTACAGCTGCCCAGAGTGAATTCCGCCAACCTGTGCACAGCCTCCACTATGAGTCCTTGGCTCTTCCCACTGCCCTGGTGCACTTTTGTCTCACTCTTCCACTGCCACATGTTGGAGAACAGTGGGAGCCGGTCACCATGTTCAGTAATGCAGCTTCTGCTGTCCTGACCCATAAGTGGGCCGTCAAAACTAGATCGGAAGCGGAGCATGGTGGTATATATGTACTCCCAGCACTCAGGAGGCTGAGGCAGGAGGATTGCTGTGAGTTTGAGGCCAGCCTGAGCTACATAGTGAGTTCAAAGCCAGCCTAAACCAGATAGCAAGACCCTGTCTCATAAAAACAACCACCACCCACCGAAAAAAAAAGACTAGATGGGATGATATGACTAAAACCTAAAAAGCTGAGTGGAGGCTTAGGAACCACAAAAGAAGCCTCTGAGACAGAATATTCTGTGGGTGCAACTTGCCTCCTGTGGCTGATCCCTGGCTTCTGTCCTTAAGAATGAGAGCATGTTGACATCACCACAACTCACACTTGCTACTGCCACAAAACAATCCCGAGGTAGCACCCAACCTTGAACACTGATTGATTAATGCAGCCCAGGGTGACCAAATGAATGTACATGTTCAGTAGCAGACTGATGGCATAGATAATCACAGGCAGGCAGATCAGAGACAGCACCAGAAGTCCTTGAAAAGTCACGAGGGCCATTACTTTTCAATGCTGAGTCTGCATGGACTCAGATAATAAGTAGGAGATAATTTTAAGAGAGTTTAAGGATACTGAAGCTGAAGGCATGGTCAGAGAAACCAGCAGTGCCTATCTTTCATCATGCACTAAGGAAATCGGATATCCAGCCACAGATTGCCTAGGGAGATAGGGAGAAGGATAAGCCTATCTTGAAATCACGTTGACCAAAAAGCAAGAAATGGAGAAATCTGGGCACTTAGCCAGCTTAGGCTTGTTAGGCGAATCTAGACCTTACAGAAGTTATAATTCAGAAGAGTGTGATCATGTATACCTGTGATCTCAAAATTC